AAATTTTTCTGACTCCACTGAATGGATGCTAAAGAAATTTCCCAAAGATTGTGCACAGACTTTTCTTCCAGACATAGATCTTTTTGCATCTAGACTAAACTGTCAAATAAAGAAGTTCGTCTCATGGTTTCCAGAACCAGGTGGTTTTAAAACTGATGCTTTCTCTTTCCTGGCAGGATTTGGTGCCATACATTTTTCCCCCTTTTAATCTTATTGGGGAAAAGATTGAACAAAATTATTGCTAATAAAGTTAGTAAAGCACTCTTAATCTTCCACATTGGACCTCACAATCCTGGTTTCCTTTACATCTCCTGGGAAAGACTATCTTTAATCACAGTGACTGTATCAGGAGACTGCTCCAAATCCAAGGACTTCCAACAACAGTTGTGGACATCAATTCATGGTGACCAAGAATATCAAAATATAATTTGGCATGGAAAAAATGGTATTTTTGTGTAATATCAGGGAAATTAATCCACTGTGTCTCTGAGATAACTTATTTCATATTTAGATTTTTTGGTAACTGAAGTTAAGTCTTACAGTGTCATAAATACTCACAAGGCTATGTTACTACTCTGAGAATGTTTTAAAATGAGTGGAGCCTTAACCCTGTGTTGATTAACAGATACTTGAAGGGATTGTTTAACAAAAGTCCACCAAAGCCAAGATATGTTGACACTTGGGATGTAAACCTAGTCTTAAAATATGTGTACTCTCTTTCCTCTGGACACTATCTTTAAGATTATTAACAATGAAGCTTGTTGCTTTTGTTGCTTTGTCCACAGCTCCAAGAGCACAAACTCAAAAATCATTGAATTTACATAACGTGACTTGTATGGCAGATAAAATTGTAATTAGTTTTTCAGATTTGTTGAAAACGTCAAGACAAGGTAAGAATTTCCAGATGGAACTACTACATTATAAGGACGAAAAGCTTTGTGCCATGCATACTTTATTGCATTATCTTGACAGGACAAAAATTATTCAGAAATCTAATCAAGTTCTGGTATCTTATTGTTCTTAGAGCCGTGACATCCAGTACTATTGCTAGATGGTTAAAAATAGTTTTTAGAAAAATCAGGAATTGATACATCCAAATTCAAAGCTCATTCTTACAAAACTGCTGCAGCATCAGCTGCTTTCAGACATGGTTGTTCCTTACACAATATATTAAAGACGGCAGACTGGACTTCCGTAAAGACTTTTCAAAAATTTTACCCAAGAGATATTCAGGCTAATAGCAAGGGCTTCACCGAAAAAGTTAATATCATCTAAATAATATAATATAAAAACATGAACAGAAAAATTATCAGCCATTATCAGCTATGGAGACTTACTTGCAAGGACTTTTCGCAAAAAATATGAAAGTGAGAAACCCAGACACGTTTTTATCACATTCAGGCCCAAAATCGCATCCATTTAATTCGTGTACAAAAATAGTGTAATCGGATGTCCATTTGTTCTTCTGGAATCTTCAGAGAGGATGCTAGTTCATATAGTAAAAGTTTGCTGGAGGCAAATATCACTTAATTGTCTCATCTCTGAATTGTTTTCAGAGATAGTGGTCTTTCAGTCAGATAACTGTCACCTGAGAAGAGTTCTAAAGATCTTGCAGCAACGAGTTTGATATTATGCTGGTAACAACTACTTGCAAATGTCCTCCCAGTCTTTGATCACATTTACCCCTTTGTTCTCTTCAGTTAGTTAGAACTATGTCCGTCTCGTTGGAATGTACATCAGCCTTTTAAACTCGACCAGCTTGGACTTTGATCTAGTAAATAAAATTTAATTTATTAATCATAACCAATTAAAAAGATTACGCTATTGAAAGGAATAATAAACAATTGACATTGATAATATATTCAAGTTGCACAGTACTATTATAAAAAATTATAAAAGTGCTTTTTTAAAAAAATCTGCATTAGTTCATGTCAGTTTGGTTGGAAGAATGAGCAAAGTCTATACCATTACGAGATTTGTGTGGAGGAGAAGGGGATCTGTGCATATGCGATGGCACATTAAAACACTACAGGTTACCAAAATATTTTTGCTAGCATAATTTTATTACAGCATCACCTTGTAAACGTTTTGGAAGATCCATCATGCACATATCAGAATCATTGTACCATATCATTGTACGATATCATTGTACCATATCATTGCACTATTACCGCTAATGAAAGACCACCCATGTTGAGACCACTTTCCGTTAAAAGTTGGTATCAAGCCGGTTTCAATGTATGTATACAATACACAGGGGACGACAGGTCTCCTTTATTATGACCTTGTTATGTATTGCAGCATGGAGGGGTAGGGCATGGAATATAATACAATATGTTAATTGAAATACTGTAAAATTACTTTAAATTAAATTTCCTTCAACCAGTTTAAAATCAAATCAGTACTTTATTCAATTTATAACCTTTCACAGCTTTAAAAGTACATTAACATAATTGCTTGATCTTAAACGTTGGTTCTTTAATTTATTTTATGCATTAAAATAAAATTCTTATTTTCTTATTAATTATTAAATTATTAATTATTATTATTATTAATTATTAATTATTATTAATTATTAAAATTCTTATTCTATCAATTGGCAAATATCCATTTTTACCTAAATTAGGTACCAGTTAACAAAAGTTACTGTTTTATTCAAATTTAATTAAATTTGATGGATCATTATTAACGTAACTATTTTTTCTTTGATTCAATGAACATAATGTAATGAATGATGGGAATTTATATATTTTATATATTATGTATACGAAAATGTATGGTTCAAATAACCTCAAGTTTCCAATAATATCTAACGTATGTAATATATACGTATATATACGTATGTAAGTTTCAAATAGTCAATGAATACCATGGGAGCGCGATTCACATAACGTGCAAAGCAAACTCTATTGAAAAAAACAATTGAAACAAACATCACTAAAACAGGCATCAATTCACAGGATCGTTAGATTGGTCCACATTTATCTTCACTGATCCACTACAAATACGTACGGATGAAACCTAGTACCCTCCGTATAATCTGAATTGTACATGTACTTACGGTCAGCACACAAGAGCTACGCTAGACCCTAAACGGGGATACACGTACGGACAACACGCCATTCTTTTGGTAGCTACGCCCATCCCTAAACAGCTACCGTCAGTTACAATAAAACCAATTTGGTTATAATAATGGGTTCTGAATTAAATTGCTAGATATTGTTACGACCCTGTAGTGTGTGTGCTAAGGAATCAATTTTGTATTTTATTTCATTATATGTTATTATTAGCATAAGTACAATATGTTGTTAAAAACAACGTCTTTCTTAGAGTTGTAAATGTGACTCGTGTAAGCACTTGCTATGTTATATGTAAGCTACGTGCTATTCATTACAAGTAAACATTTAGGAATAGCTATGAAAACGACTGGCTGATACTTTGTCAGGCTTAACTAATGTCTGGATGTATTGTGAAATCGTACGTGTATTGTGAAACTGCGCGTGAGTAACAGCCAGAAAAAATGTGTCGTAGCCTACTGTTACACAACTTCTATTATTTTTGTGCTAGAAGTTGTCTGTTCGTATGTCTACGTAGAACATGTTTTGTTAGTGGAGCCAATTCTAAGTTTTTCTGAATTGTTTTCCTGGAGAACAGCATCACTTGTTTGGACAAAGAAATTCTGAACACATTTTAAATTGGAACGGAACAATACAAACTGCTTTACTGTGTAAATTCTGGATTTTTTTTGTTAGCTTTCGTCTGACGTCATCCGTCATTATGGACCGGAACTGAACTAAAGACTGCTTAGAATTTTTTACAGGTCTTGTTTATCTTTAGAACAAACAATCTGGATCATTTCCGTAAATTTAAGTCTCGTTTTACATAATTACATTTTTTCCATGTTTTCTAGGAAAATAAATTCGTTAAAATTTACAACGCGTGTTGTCTATATTTTCTTTGTTACTTTGAACGAGACGATACGTAAAAATACATACTCATAAATTAAACTGCAATAGCCAAATTGGCAACGTAAAACATTACCCTATATAAAAAATAGATTTCGTAAGTCAAATAAATTTAACACTTACCGCATAGAACGTTACATACCCCGGAGAATGTTCACTCCCTGACAAAATCCAAATGACCAGTGTCTGACTTTGAAATGAAACAAGCTTAAAATCCATAGAATAGTGAATAATAGTCATGGTTAAACAATCGTGTATATCATGCTTTCCGTGACTTTAGCCGCATGCAGATTTAGACTCGCTCATCTGAAGAAACAATGACTCACCCCAGGTAACGTTGTACTTCTGCTCAACGAATAAAGGTGGAAAATCTTGCCTTATTTTGTGACAAAAATCTGATACTGCATCCTAAATTGCTGGTTTATAAATAGAATGAAACCCATAAGATCATCTGGAAAATATCCATGGGATATGAATTAACACTATACATTTAGTACAAATTTATTTCATATAACAATATTATTTTCAATATTGTTTCATGGTTCCGCATAACAGTTTAATTTGCTTTATCCTGAGTGCCTGGATTTTAAAATCGGGCTGCCCACAAAACTTGTACTTGCCAGGTAAATTTCTAAACTTGCCACCCAAGATTGCTTTAACATTAACATTATTAATCAGCTTTAGTCATTGATATTGTTAGCCCTAATTGCACACAATAATTGTAATTCCAATAAGATGTGCTGATGGAAAATTGTCAAACAAATACGTATTTATTTTATTTTAGATGATCTAAACAAATAATCATTTTTCTTTTTGGCAATGATTACCATCAACTTTGTGTTTTTGATTTAGATTTTTAACGTAGCTTTAACAATTTTTCAGTCATATAGCTACGATGTCTCTAGTGTGACAGTTTAAAGTGATGTCTAATACTGGGGCATCATGCAGCAAACATGTAGCATCATGTCCCACCCAGTCACATTAACCTGACACCAGACCGACCAGTTCTAACACTAACCTCTTAAGTCTTTGGTTTGACTCGCCGGGGTTCGAACCCATGACCTACCGCATCCGAGGCGGACACTCTAGCCACTAGGCCACTGGTGCGGTCCATCAACTTTATAATAGCTGGCCACTCCTGACAACAAATGTATCCATGATTAATGTTCATCGTTATGTGTCAGTTTATAGTTGATCAAATGATATTACCAGTGGTATTTAATACTATAATGCCAAGTTGGGAGTCCAAGTAGCAGGGAACTAGACTAACTGATGATATACCGCCAAATAATATAACGTATTTCAAAACCTAGCGACTTTTATTTCTTGAGACAATCGTTTACGTCAAATCTCAATTTCTTGAATTGTTCAAGTAGTACAATATTGATGTCGTGATCTCATAAATTATGAAACTCGCCTACACAGAGTGGTCTGTATCTGTGAAACAAAGCTCTTTATTTTACGAAGCATTCATTGAGCTTGGCTGCCTTCCTATCTTTGGTGACAATCACCAATGAGTCGGTTAATTTAAGTTAATATAATTATGTAGCATACACAAGAACATAAGTGTTCGATTGATCAACTGAAGAGAGTTTATCAGACATAACCATGGCCACTTTTATCAGACATATAACCATGGCCACAAGGTCTTAAGCATGTACGATTAGCATGACTTTACTTTTCTTTATGCCACTTCCTTTAGTTGATTCAGTAGACATTAATTAACGTGATAATGCAAAGAACTGCTTTTAATTCAGGGCAACAAACAACAAATGAGTTATATATGGATTGTTTACAGAATTTATCAACTTGGTTAAAGCTGGACAACAAATGTATCCATGTTTAATGTTTATCATTAGGTATCAGGCTATAGTTGATCAAATGATATTACCAGTATTAATCTCTTGCATAAACTGCCATGAACTGTAAACAATCCAGATAAGGATTTTACTTAGTTGTCATTCAAGGGAAGAAACAACAACTGTGACTGGTTGAATTATTATACATTACCATACCAATGCGATGGAAAGAACTAAGATTTCCTCACGTAACCGAAGGCTGTCACGCTAAAAGGAGGCAGCCGTTACTACCAATTTTGTACGTATTTGGTGTTCGAAACAATGATCTCCCGCTTCAGAGGCGGGTACTCTAACCACTAGGCCATCAGAGCGTGCCTAAAATGCCATGAACTGTAAATAATCCAGATACGGTTTTTACCTTGCTGTCATTCAAGGGAAGAAGCAACAACTGTGACTGGTTGAATTATTATATATTGCCATACCAATGCGACTGCTGTGTTGTTTACACCAAGGTGAACATTATATCCAAACGTATCGTATCGCCAAGGTGAACATTATATCCAAACGTATCGATATACATTACAAGCCATTAAGATTTTTGTCTAGCTTTTGGGCACGTTGTTTTCGCCAACATTATGCAATACAGGAGTCCTCAAAGGGACTCAAACTCTACCATGAACTTGCATCTAAAACTTTAAATACCTCTCCCTCTTTACCTCTAGTACATCAGTGTTCTAAAATAGATCGCGCTATAAGCAAGGGCATAAGGTACAGAGAGACCTCTAGAAATTGAAAAATCTTTAGACATTGAGAAAATCGTGGCTGGGAAGGGTTTGACGAACTGGGATGATTAATGACGGAAATCTCAATTTACAATCACATCGATAAAATTTTTAACATGTTTTTGCTAAGTTGTTTGTTATTCCATGTAAATGACATTTATTTTCAAAATGTCATGTGAAAAATTGTTCCAACTATTTTCAAAAACATTCATGTACTACGTCGCTACTTTAGTTTTGGTGATTAGTCTGGTTCCGGAATGATATTTAATACTATAATGCCAAGTTGGGAGTTCAAGTAGCAGGGAACTACACTGTTGATATACCACTAAATAATATAACGTATTTCAAAACCTAAAGACATTTATTTCTTGAGACAATCGTTTACGTCAAAACTCAATTTCTTGAATTGTTTAAGTAGTACAATATTGATGTCGTGATTTCAGAAATTCTCTGAAACTCGCTTTCATAGAGTGGTCTGTATCTGTGAAACAAAGCTCTTTATTTTACGAAGTATTCATTGAGCTTGGCTGCCTTCCTATCTTTGATGACAAACACCAATGAGTCGGTTAATTTAAAGTAGTATAATTATGTAACATACACAAGAACATAAGTGTTCGATTGATCAACTGAAGTGAGTTTATCAGACATATAACCATGGCCACAAGGTCTTAAGCATGTAAGATTTGGATGACTTTTAACATTTCTTTTATGCCACCTCCTTTATTTGATTCAGTAGACATTATTTAAAGTGATAATCCAAAGAAAAAACTTTTAATTCAGTGCAACAATACAACAAATACTTCAGTAAGTTATTTGTTACAATAAGTTCACCACTAAATTATGTTCTCAGATACAATTTTCTCACATGGCTCTTCTGATAGACTGACACATTGTACGTTTACAATTGTTTATTGCATTTATAATGATTCAGCTTAAAGGGAACTAAAAAGGAACTAAACAAAACACGAATTTCACTTGATAACAAATTATTTACTTGGTATTTACTAAATTGTGCATGTGCTAGGCATAAGTGACATTTCATTTATCGAAATTTCCTTGAATATCATTAACTAAGGTGTACTAAGAATATCATTCGGAAAGCAAATTTAACAAATGATTTCATATTGAATACTGATAATTTCATGTTTAAAATTCCAAGTCATATCTAACGTTTCTGACAATAAAACGAGTAATATATCAATGTCTCTTATCAATTTTGATGGCAATTTTCTTCAAATTCAATACACAAAGATCAATGTTTGTGTATTTTCTGGTTTAAAAAACGGGATCCACGCCTCAGCACGCATGATAGCGTTTTCTTGAGGATTGGTATATTTAGGTGCCAATTGTTAAGGTCTCGCTGGCTGGATAGTTTCGTATTTTGACACCCTCTAATTTTAAGTTAGAAGGCATGAGTCTAATTATCCCAATTCTAGCATTTATACATTCACAATTTAAATCTGTGATGTGGTTTACTTTTACATTGAGTTAGGCTTGAAAATGGGTTGGCTTGTTAGTGACTTTCTGACAAAGTTGGACTAGTATTGGAGATCAAATGCGTAATTTGGGCTGCAAAATGAGGAGCCGACTTGGCTTGCGCATTTATATCTGCTAAAGAGGTAAATATCTGAAAGTCTATATGGTTGAGGGGTGAGGAAAGATGTTAATTTGTTATAGTACTAGTGAACTTTAAATTATGAATAAGGTACATACTGATTCTCTTAGCCGTCTTGTCTCAGAAAAATGTTTAAAATAGCTCTTCTGTCAAAAATGAATGTAAAATGATTGGTTGGTGGTAGTACCGGTTCAATACGAAAGCCGCCAGTTGTATTAAAGAATTAACCTTAATACCTCATTCAGAATCTAACAAGTATCCTTTCAACAAAAATCATTTTATTTTTGTTTGTATCTTTAATGTAATATTATCATTTTTGTGCAGTAGGTTATCGTCGGACGCAAATATGCCACACAAAAAAACTGTCAAGTGAGACCCTTGCCATAGATATGTGTTTCTGCTGTTTGTTGTGTAACTATCTTTGTGTTCTTGTAGGGCTGGCTTCAAAGGTCATATTGTTGTGGTTGTTGTCTATTTTTATTGGTTCCTTTTGACTTGGAAAATCGGTTCTGATACAAGATCATTACCAGTTTTCCGGGGGTATTTCTTTGGTGCGGGTGGGGGGTGGGGCAGAGATCCGGCACGGTCCGTGCTACCTCACGTGAGTCACGTAGCACTGGCACCTTACCTTGCTCTTCCCCTTGTATGTAATATTTCTTTGTATGTGTAGTTATTCTATAGTTTATTAAAGGGAGATCTCACAAGCATAGTATTTCTATTAAATATCATAAAAATTCTTCTTTTCTATAAAATGGCTTTTTATAATCTTTGGTGTGCTCTTCTGTCAAAAAGGAATGCAAAAGGATTGGTTGGTCGTAGTATCGGTTCAGTATAAAAGCCACTAGTTATATAAGGAATTACCCTTAATACCTCAGACAGAATCTAATCTAATCCTTTCAACAAAAACCATTAATTAGTTTTTTTGTATCTTTAATTTTATATTATCATTTTTCTGCAATAGGTCATCGTCGGATGCAACTATGACACAAAAAACCTGGCGAGACCTAACATATCAGTGCTCAGTCGCATTATCGTAAAAACATCTTTGGGATAAATATTAAAAATGTATACGTGTACATGATATATTTATCAATACGTGTACATGATATATTTATATATACGTGCACATGATATATTTATCAAGGAATGAAATAAAAAGATATAATATCTCATTCTGACACATAATCATTTAGTCAGAGAAAAAGTCACGGGCTTCATTCACAGATGACTTAGAGGAATGTACACTATAAACATAAAGTCCATTTGGTACCATGAACTACAAGAGCTTATGCATAATTGTTGGATATAATAAAGGAGAAAAAAATCAACCAACAACACAAGCTTTTTAACACTTTTAATTGAATCTGAAATACAATTCACACTTACTGATTTAATAGTCCAAGACTTAATTTACTCAGGCAATATTGATTAGCTCGAAGTAAAAACAATGTACACAGCCACGTACTCGATTCTGGTTTATTGCTGTGGTCCTTCTCAGAATTAACATCATCGGAGAGACCCCATAGTGTCGAAAGTTAAATGGTTTTGTCATTGTTTCACAAAAGAGCATGTGCTGTTAGTATTAACTTTCTTTCAATTAAATTTCGATTTTAAAAATTGAGTATGCATTGTATACCGACTCTATTCTAGGATGTAATATAACTCTTCTTCTCAGACTAGCATCGAAGCATACTTAAATTTTGTGATTCTTGCAATGGATATGTGTTTCTGCTATTTGTTGTGTAAGCTATATTTGTGTTCTTGTAGGGCTGGCTTCAAAGGTCATATTGTTGTGGATGTTGTCTACTTGTATTGGTCCTTTTTGACTCGGAAATCGATTGTGATACAACATCGATACCAGTTTCCCTGTCCTTGGAACTTCTTTGTATTTAATGTATGCTAGAAGAAGTCAGATAGTAGGATAGATTGTATGATTAGTAGACGGTGTGGGGGGAAGGGTAAGTGATTCATGGCAAACATTGAAACATCAGCTTGGTACTGACTAGGATCCACTCATAGAATTGTCAAAGAATAAGGCAAGAAATAACTGTTTCACCTTTGAATGATGAAATCATTTTCGTCGTACATGCGTACAAAGATACCTAGGGTGGATAATTGTTGTTTTTAGTTATGCGACTGAACGTACATGAATTCCCTAGTAGTTCGCTTACGGCAAGAGACACAAAAAAGCACGATATGCACATGCATTTTACCCTTATTCATTCCAATGAAGATTTAAGACACGGTTTAGAATAATTGATACACTGGTCTTTTGGATTTTGTCAAGGAGTGCACATTCTCCATTTGTTCTACAGCCACAGGGGTAAGTGTTACATTCTCATTCTCATTTTCATTTGATAGATGAAGCAGATTTCATTTTTAATGCTGTTGTGTTTATTGATGCATTTTTGTAGGTAATTGTTTGTTCTTGAGAAAATTGTGCTTATGATGTGGTTGTCTGTGTACTGGGGTAGCAGTGCAGTGATTAATGTCACACAGGAGTTCATTACTGAGAAAAAATATACAGTAAAATTGCTCTATGGCCTGTCAGAGCATTAATAATTTAACTTAAATGAGTATACAATTGTCAATGATCGACGCATAAAATTTTCACACGTTGTGTGTATTGACATTAAACATATTGAAATATAATTTTAAATTTCAATTTTAGCCATAGAGTTGGTATCGGCTGGAGATGACACTAGAAAACCTGTCAAGGAATATCTCTTTAAATTCTGTGCATGGAAGAAAAAGCATGTCCAGATTCAAATTAATGTTAAATTTGAGAAGTATATTCCAAAGGATCTCGATGCATCCCACAAATTGTGCGTGAATGTCGACCACCTAAGGTTAGAACCTCATTCCATTAACAAAGGTCAAAGGTGATGCAAAGGTCATGGGCATTGCATTGGAAATGGATTTCCAGACTGCATGAAAGTTTAAACTGTAACATGGAAATAATCCAGCCATCATGATATTGGAAAAAAATAGTGTTATTGATTTTAGTTTTAGCTTTCGCTTCTTTACCATGTGTTCTTCAGAGAGTCTTTGAGAACTGTCATTTTGCACATGAAATTAAGATTCTTTTAATCTTATTTGCAGTGTCCATTGGCTCCTGCTAAACCTGTGCATATGAGTGATCGCCCTTGTTGCACAGTGAGTAACAAGGCGTTGGTGACAATCCGGACGTGAACAAATTCAGCCTCTCACAAATCTTTTAGCGTGAAGTCATCCTTTTAAGGTATTTTAATGTCACAGACTAAACTTTAGTATTCAATTGTCAATGATATACGCATAAATTTTTCAGTGTATATTGACTTTAAACATTAAAATTAAATATAATTGATTTTTTTTAAATTTAAATTTTGGCCATAAATTCAGATTTGGTATCAGTTGGATTTGACTTATTATTAAAAAGCCTGTCAAGGAAAATCTCTGTAAATTCAGTGCCAGCACAATAGTGGTTGTACAATATGGACAGGAACTGTAACAGCAAATAGATTATATGGCCTAATGTCATATAGGGATCCAGAAACAAACACATGGAAGAAAAAGCATGTCCAGATTGGCATTAATATTAAATTAATGTTAAAAGTCTGAATATTTCAAGGATCTCGATGCATCCCACAAGTTGAGCGTGAATGTCGACCACCTAATCATATTGGAAAAAAGTGTGGTCTTTGATTTGTTTTTATTTGTTTATTTATTTTATTTTAGTTTTCGCTTCTTTACCATGTGTTCTTCAGGGTGTCATTCAACACTTCCATTTTGCACATGGAATTACCATGGCGATGTCATTCCATTTTTTCCATGAAGATGATTCGTGTCCCAGCATTCGCATTCAATTGTCTTTCAGGTTTAGTTTTGATTGTGCTTGAGCTGACTGAAGACCCCCATTTGTAGGCTTCTCTATCTGCAGTGTCCATTGGCTCCTGTTAAAACTGTGGATATGAGTGATCGCCCTTGGTGTCTAGCAGACTTTTGAAGTCGACTTCCTATTGCCTTACCTCAGATGGGCCTGTATGATACCTCTTGATACCTCTAGTCTTGCTAGAATACGTTGCCTGGTTTGTGGACGCTTTCGATACAACTTAGGGTAAGTGCAGTCTTTATCTTTAGAGATCTTGATGAACGTCTCAAGTGTCACTTTTGTTTTCAGTGATTATCCCAGGCTGTTGAGTGTATTGTTGAATGCACTCTTACCTCAATGTTTCTGGAATAATGAAACACTGATTGATTTGTTCAAAGCCTGTTACAACAGTCCCCTGAATAACAGCGCAGAGTGGCATCCAGTATTTTGGTAAGTTGTTACAAAAATTAAATATCACCACTAGTGTCCAACAGTTGTTTGTGCTTTTTTTCTATTCTTGGAAACACTTAATTCAGCACAATTACAGGATTTGAACTGAGCGACCCAAATGAATAGGGTCTAATTTCCACATTGGGTGCAGAATCTTGAAAGCAGCTTCAAAACCAGCCGCAGCCTGTGCATATCCATTGTTGCATATCTAATGAGAATCTTTCAGCACAAATTGTCCCTATTTCTCTGCCATCTTAAGCTGTTGCAGCTGGTGACAGATTTCCTGAGCAGTGAACATGGGCTACTGGACATTGCACATCAAACCTTTGCCCGCCATCCATGCTCCAGTCCCACACAGCTGGTTTTCTATATTTTACTTACTTAGTGCTAGGCATGGACGAACCTAATATTTTTATGAAAACCTTGCCCTTATTTGGAGCAGAAGAAAACGTTACAAATGTAATTGCATTGTATCTTGCGCCAAAGCAACATTTATTTGCTTCGGATGCTGAACACCACGCATGACATTCAACTGTCTAGTTTCCACATTTGCTTTACCTAGTGTTGAAGGCCATTTGAATAGATGCCGATTGGTGTATCTTGTAGTCCCGTTTGAAATATATTTACAGCAGCAGGATTAGGCCCAAGTTCTTATTATCTCTTCACACTTGTACTCTAGTGACAAATAGTATGCTTCCAAGCTCCTTTCATTATCAATATGGAACTCTTTGTCTTCCACATATGGTAACTTACCATGGCGATGTTATTCCACATTTTGTTTCATGCAGATGATACGTGTCCAATCATGCTCATTTATTTGTCTCTTTTAGGTTTTGCTTTGGATGATTGTTCTGACCCGGCTTGAGCTGACTGGATACCTCCATTTGTCTGCTTTGAAAGAACTTGTCTGCATCCTTTCTTCTGGTCACTGGAAAAGATGCAGCACTGGAAATTGTCAGATATCCGACTCCTTTGTTTATTTTTATATAGAAAAATATGTATATTTTATTTAAATTAGTTATATATAAATTTATACATAAATGATGCATATAAATATTTTAAAAAAATAAAATTCTTTAAATATGTTTTGGGATTAAAACCTACATATTTTTGTATAGATATGATTTTTAATTTATTTAATTCTGTATAATTTATTGTTTAATGTTCAAATGTCTAGGATATAGTATTTTAAATATTGGTGTTATGATTAGCAAAATCAAGGAAGACACTCAATAAATGCAGTTTAATGCTTGCAATAAATACAGTATACATAATACTAAATAATAGTAAAAAATACACGTCAAGTTTTAGTATTTCTTTATAGTGCTCAGATATCCTACCCAGGCACAAACAGCAATAGGACAGGTGTCATATGAATCATGATAAGGGCCTTATTATTTTCATCCGCGTTCTCAAAGTATTAATTGAATTTGTTATCTGAGAAACTGTTCTTTCTGAATTATTCATTGCAAGTTCTTTATCAGCCAAATGTCTGAAAATTTGTATAAACCGTATCTAAACAGGCAACATTGACTTCTGCAGTGTCGGTCTTCTGATATATTGAGCGATATATATTATAATAGCTTTGGAGAAAAACCAGACACCAGAGAAAAACCAGAGAAAACCAGACAGTTTTTATCAACTTAGCATCTTAGCAATTTGTCCTTTAGAAGGTATGAACCACGAAACGATTCATAAAAAGTCTGATGTCCATTTGTTGTCCCTGACATTTGTTGTTCTGACAGGATGCCAGTTCATATAATAAACAAGCGCTGGAGGCAGGCAAATTCCACATAGGCTAAAAAGAAATGTCAGTGCTAGCTTTTCTATTTTCTTTAACCTATCAAATGAGAAGAGATTTGCAACGAGCTTTTTTTGATTATGCTGGTAACGACTCGTGCAACTTGTATTCTGTATGTCGGGTAGAATCTGTTGGAATGTATATCAGCCTTTTAAACTCGGTCAGTCTGGACTTTGATCAAGTAAATAAGATTTAATAAAAGCAAGAATATCAGATATCTTAATATAAGCTAATGGTCACACATGGTTGTATCAAAATATCTAAAATGGACAAATAGGTTAAATTTTTATGTACATTTGCATGTTAACTGACACATGCTGATAAATAAGATTCCGGTGAGGACAGGCAGTTTACTTACAACAGGAAAAAGAACATTATAAATTTTATATTTTATATATTAAAATGAATTACTAAAAGTTATATATTATTCATATATTAAATTTATATATTATACATGTTGTGCATGATGGCAAATTCATTGCAAGTAGTAAACATTTGGAAATAGCTACTGGCTTGATACTAATGTCAATCGCACATGTCCTCCATGATGTTTCCTGAAAATCTGGTTGCCCACATTATCCCGACACCAGGCCGAACAGTTAATGCTAAGAACCAAGCGAGGCAGCTGCTAGTACCATTTTTGTAAATCTTTGGTTTGACTCGCCGGGGTTCGAACCCATGACCTCCCGCATGCGAGGCGGACACTCTAACCACGAATCAATATACTTTACTTGCCAGTAAAGCTTTGGGCAACATTATGAAATACAATTTATCAAAGGGACACTCTGAACCATGAGGTTGCATCTAGGTCATTAAATACCTCTCTGTAACTATTGCCCTCATTTCCTAAGTCTCATGCAAGTACCCATAACATATGGACACTAATAGAATCTTCTCTCCCATCATCGGTAATAGTCCCAAAGAAAATATAATGTGTGTGTGCAAAGAATAAGTGAATTACTAACCTTACTAAGCCACAAAAAAAGTTTTGCATTTAAGAAAGTGTGGAGAAATTGTAAACCTGTACATTTCTCCAGCATTGAGTACATGTCAATACCCATAGATGGGTAAACCATATATACATATATGTGCATATGTAATATGACCGTCTGTACTGTGCGATTTGTATAAAATAAATCTATTATATTTTACTTGACTGACTTTTTTGTCAAGTGCTTGGCTGAGACGAACCTTGTTTTTGGGAAAACGTTAACCTTATTTGGAGCAATACCTCGATACCTCACATCGGGTCCAAAAATCTATAAGCGGGGGTATAAGGTACAGAGGGACCTCTAAAAATTGCAAAATCCTTAGACATCGAAAAAACCGTGTCGGGGTGGAAGAACGTGGCAGTTTAATGACTGAATCCTCATATTGCACTCATACAATCACTTCGATAATTTTTAATGAGCACCAGGAAAGGTGAACCCTACAAAAGTTTGCTCGTTTCATTAACAAAAATAAAGGTAACTGCAGAGGCTGAAAACAACGCTAACTTGTTCAATGCACCTGACTAACTCATGAGGTTAGCTCATTATTGTTATATTATTGTTGACGTATTTTTTGATTGTCAGGTGATTGTTTACTCGTAAAGCGACCCAATTGCTGTCCTTCACCCTACCTACTGCTATTGATACCCAAGGGCAATTTGACCAAAGATTTTATCTAGACCAATCTACGAGCGTTTGCATAAAGTTTCGTTTCTCAAATCAACTATATTTCCATCATGATTCAAGAGTTTGAAACTCATTCTTGACAGTAATGGATTATGAACACGCAGGTAGACTTGATTTATTGATTCAGATACTATAAGCAATCTGGGAGGTGATTGAATACTGGACAAATATAATATGTATCCATGCTGAGCCTGATTTGACTTAGAAATGTCAACGTGGTAGCTGCTATCAATTACATCGCATACTAGATTTAATGCGATGGTAGGTGAAATATGACGTCCTGTTCCATATGGGTCACTATTATATTTGAGAACAGTTGGAAACTGTATTTTTTCCATGAATCACATATTCAGTGTTCATCAATAAGACTAACTGATTTGTTTAGTTCTAGAGTTAAGTTTAGGTATTATAAATGTTGGTAATTGTTCTTGCGTAATTCCAAAATATTTTAGAAAAAGTGAAAAAGCGATTGGCTGGAGCAGGTTGAGTTGGATCGTCTTAATTATACTATTTTCAATAGTTGTATTTCGAATTGATGGTGGTACTACTAATCTTATCTCTGATAAAAACATTATTCGTGAAGCAACTTAATTCAAATGTTGATTCAATTTGATTTTTTAAATCATCATTGTAAGAAACATTAATAATTAAAATATATTTTAAACAAACGTTCAAGTTCAGATTTAATATTATTAGCAAAAGAATGTATTATATCAATATCTAGTGTTGCTATTTTTTGTTTTTCTTGCCATCAATATTTTATAAAATAATTATCTATTTCTATCTATATAATGCGCAAATCTATTAGTATCAGAATACACTTTCCATGGATAGCTTCTATTTTTTGATAATCTGCAAGTTATATAAATTAACATTCGTGACGAAGTCGGATCTTTTTGGTTCTGGTGGAACCTAATAAACCGGTGCAACTTCAGGCCATCCTAACACTGATCTAATCGAACTTTGATAAATATGTACAGCATAGTCAGTAGAATGTATTCCAATCGGACGATAATGTTGGTTCGTATACAGTGATCGCTTTCTTTGATTCTTTCCCAGTAATAGAATTCAGGATAGGTCGAACTTATTGATATCATAGTAGTTTTTAATGGCGTCGTATTAGCGACGATCTGTTGCAATAATTCTCTTGAATCGGACATTGTTATTTAATTCTCCATCCTTTTGTTATTGTCACTAGATGATGCGTTATTTTCCATCACGAATGCTTCGTTGTAGGTTTTAATTATCATAACGAACTCTTCATCAGATAATTTACAATCACTGACACAAGAAAAATGTGAGCATAATTTAGTATGGGCGGCTGATGCCGTGTGTAATTTCATCATACACTCGCGTAATTTATCGTTTGTGCATATAGATATTTTTCAGCGATAATACTAAGAATACCTGCACATGTTGTTGTTCTAGAAACGATAATCGTTAAAACCGCAGGAGTAGTCAGTTAAAATTGATAATAATAATCCGATTCCAGCAACAGCAGACACCGAGTAAACGATTACATCGATAACAACCATGCGTCTGCGATTTTTTTACTTTCAACGTGTATTCGTCGATGATTTTTAGTTCACTCTGACACTTACACGCCTAATTATATCTGTGAGGTTGAACGTCAATGAGTGACTCATCAGATTCATTATACCTAATGATGTTTAATTAAAATGGGAGCCTTAGTTACAAATTTCAGACACCACCAGTAATTAGCGGAGAACAAAGTTCTATCCAACGATTCCAACGTGAACGTTATTTCAGAATTTTTATCCAACATTACGGTTCTAGATAATTTATACGGTTCTAGATAATTTATTAGCTAATGGAGATGTGGTAAGTATGTTAAATTCTGTAACGCTAAACACAGAAAACATATATATATATATATATATATATATATATATATATATATATATATATATATATATATATATATATATATATATATATATATACCAGCGACCTCCGCGGTGTGTTTGATGGTTTTATTTCGTTGTGTCCATGTAGCTGCGATTGATCCGACGACGTACACAATGTTAATGATCTATTGAGGAAATTTAATCAGGCTTGATTTGTAAACAATATCCGGAATTCCACTAATGATATCGTTGAGTTTTGTTAATATCAGCAAGTTTTATATCAACATTTGGTGGACTTCCAAACAGTTCGTTATTAGCTTTGTTTATATTTCTACGAAAATTTAGAAAGGTTTGTATGTGCTTAGAAAACTCAGTTCTAAATGCAACAACTTCATCATTGTTGTTAACGAAGTCGTTATTGGAATTTCCTTATCATCGACGTAATTTTTTGTAACAGCATCACTATCTGTAGTTAGATATCAAAGAGCTGTAATTTTATTTGTGTTCATAATAACGTCTCCACTAAGTACACCGCCAGTCGTCTTGACATAATCGTTAACTGGATTAACGAAATCCTGTATTTTACCCTGATCAGTAAAAATAACGATATTATCAGCAACTGTAGTAGGAATTCCTATAAGTACGTCTGGTAGTAGTATATTGCTTGTCTTTTATCGTCCTTGTTTGTTCTGACAAACAGCCACTTCATTTTGATCAACACTTGTAATATTTAATAAATCATCAATCTCATTTCTGAGTTGATCAAGGGTTGCATATTTAGATAAATCACCTTGCTGCTGAGTTTTACCACGAGCAGATCTTCCATAAATATCTACCATTATAGTAATTGATGTCCGTTCAAATGCGACAGTGGGGTATATTCATGCACGACTTTATGAGATGGCTTTCCTTGCGGTGCCATGAATACAGAATCAAGTACATTAAGTACTTCACGACCACATATTGGTGGATCAGTTAATGTTTGTGTTGATAGCGTTGAATTAGGGATTGGAACGAGCAGTATTATTACTGCCATATTAAAGAAATTCTTTTGGTGGCGCTAATCCATATAAATCAAAATAGATAATTCTACGTGGATCAATTGCATACGCTACCCAATGCGTGCCAGGTCCAGAGTTTTTATCAAGATTTATAATACCGGTTTCAGTATTGTTAGGTTGTTTTGGTAATTGATCGCGCATAAAAACACCTATGAACTTTTTTATATTATTTATTTTAGCAGCATCGAATAAATCAACATTAGACATAGGCGAGATCTGAAAAGTATCCCTGGAAGTCTTAGACCTTTTCCGTACCATGAAGGCTGGGTTCCTGGTAATCTGAGACCTTTCCTTTTTGGGGGATTCCACGTCCGGTTGCTTTCTTTATTGCCATTCAAAAAGCAGTTCCAAAAGCGCCTAATGCAGCTGCTTTTGCAACAGCAGGGGATGCAGCGGCTATTAATGCTGGTATAGCTGCGAGAAGGGAATATATACCACCCGTTTTAAAAGTATCTTTGATAGCGCCTGCAGAAAGACTAAGTTTGAAGCGGCTATTAATGCTGGTATAGCTGCGAGAAGGGGATATATACCACCCGTTTTAAAAGTATCTTTGATAGCGCCTGCAGAAAGACTAAGTTTGACGCCTTTATTTGATTTTTTTGCTTCATTAAAGTTTTTAAATTGACGATCGGTCAACGATAATGTATTTGAACCGCTCCTCTGTTCTTTTGTCAACGATATTTTTATTTCACTGTTGTGATATTTGTAAACCAGTATCAACGTTTTGATCACGTCCCATGAACGATGATAGGAACGTGCTACATGGTTTTGATCGAAATTTAACAAAATATCCTCGAATGGTTCTTGATGTCCATTTATCCTTAATGAAACTTCAGAAACACCGAGCTTATCAAATATCATGATATTTTGTGTCTGATTATTTACTCGTGCAATACTTTGAAGCGCAATAAATATATGTCGCGGTGCAGAATCACCTTGCTGAGAGGCTATCTGCCATGTAAATATACCAGTAATTGCACTTTGAATAACATCTGTGGTCATCGTTAACCATGAAAACATTGATTTACCACCTTGACTCGTAAAAGATAGTAACTGACCTATTTCAGATATCGTTGGAGTCATTACTGCTATCCGGAGCGAAAGTTTGGTTAGTATAACTTTACCATGAAGT